AAGAAAAAAAATACAAAGGAAATCTTACAGAATTTTTATGTTAAAATTAAAAAAATAAATAAAATAGGGAAAAAGAAAATGTATATAAAGTTGAAAAAAAAGAGATGAAAATTTGGTGCTGGACAAAAATGGTAATTTGCTAGTTCTCGGTGACTAATTTTGCGAAAACCAAGCAGAAAAGACATTAAAAAGTGGGGGCGGCTAAAATTTTGCCCCAAAATAACTCATTTCAACCATATTGGCTATTTTAATATAAAATTAGAGACAGGTATTTATTGTCTGATTGTTATAATCTATTTTTAATTCGCTTATATTCATTAATTCTATTTTCGGGCATTTTACGGAGCCCCGTAATGTGGTCCTAAGATTACTGAATTTATTTTAAAATGTACGAATATCCTGTCCAAGTTTTTTTGTGCGTGTCTGTCTAGAGATTGAGAAGATCTACATAAAATTTATCTTTTCGAAATGAAAAGAGATTTAAACGAAATCAACCTATTCCCTAAATTCATCATTCATTTTATGACATTTCCACCAAGACAGCAAAAATAAAATTTTAATTGGACAATTACTGCTTTTTCCATAAATTTCAGGGAGGTTGGTAGGGGTGGTCTTGCAAATGATCTAGTAAAAACAATTGTTGTACCCTCCCCTTCATAGTTGGTCTACTTAAGTTATGACGGTTTTGTAGGAAGTAGAGTTATTCAGGATCGGAGACAGGGTTAGAATATTCATTAACGTAACGAGAAATATCAAATTCACTCACCCCTAATAGACAATTTGTGTCTGACGAACTGTCCAGTTATCAAACCTACCAAATAATCTAGTACTAAATGTCACATGGAGAAGACGGGTATAATGTTCTGTGTCCTTCATGGTATTTTGGTAAGCAATGTCAGACCCTGACAGTTCAACTTGAAGACAAACACCAATAACAAACAGGGGGTCAAAATGACTAAAATCGAAAATATGTAACCAAAATTAAACTTTGACAAGATTTTTTCTTCCTCACAATGGTAATTGAAAATTGTTTAAATAATTAATGTTTTTGTTGGTCTTGATTGATACTTTATAGTCATTTGATCAGGTTTGTTGTGAAGTCACCAAATTATTCGAGATATCAAAAAAAGGTTAATTGTAAAACTTTTCTCGTAAAGTAATCGAAGACATTTCCTTGAAGGATAAAAGAAAAGCCTAAAAGTTACATGTATAAAGTAACAGACTGCTTTTGGATATTTTTTTTTTTTTTTTGTAAAGTGTACGTTTTCATGTTTGACCACACTGCGGTAACAGAACCGGATTCTGTCAAAGACATTAGTACTGCATTGATGATTGAAGGCACATCTGAAACAACTGACAGAGCAGAGTTTTAGTGTACGTGTCCCATACGACCACTAACATTCTTTAGTAATGTTACAATTTAGGTAAGAGTTTGAATTCTGTAACAACCAGGTTTTTCCATGAGGGTGTAAAAAGTAATTTAAAATCATTTACTACTTCAGTATTTTTTAAGACAATTTCACAGACCATTTCAAAATACTGAAATTGTTTTGAGGCCGTTGGCTAACCAAACACCATTCATTTTTCTGGGACTACGTTTTGGTTTCATCAACCAATATAAAAATTATTCTAACCAATGATCACTAAGTAGAATTTATTGAAACATCAAAACTTTCGTTTTAATGGCAACAATTTGTAATAGTAACTTAACCACAACGTCTCAATTTTCAGAATTATCTGCACAAATATTGAATTTTGAAATTTCTTAGCCAAAATATGCAAGCGTTGGGCGCGAAACATTGTGCATTTAAAGAAAAAGTGTGATTAGAAGTCAAGAATTAAAATAAAACGAAGGGATATAATTCCTAAGTTCAACCAGGCAAGTTAAAAGCTGCAATACCGCAAATGAAATTAGGTCATTTTTGTACCGTTAATTTCCTTTAGTTAGTAGTACGTCAACAAAGTGTCAGTGTACCTTTTAGTTTTAGTGATTAAAGAAAGTTTTACTTTTAACTGGTAACGATAAAGATATTGTGACCTTTACTGATATCGTAGCACCATCATATTCATTTCAATAGTGAAATGAACTTGGCCCGTGTACCAACCAGTTAACAGGTCATTGCGACAAGTGACATCTACCCCCTCCCCCAGTTGACAGTTGTTCATTTGTGATGGACCACTCACTTGACAGACTGCGTTAATATGACACACGACAGAGGAATGTAACCTTTTTGTATTGCACACTCATCAAACACCCCAAAACAAGTATAAATACTGCCCTCCCTTAAACAAAAATAAACCTAGTTTCATCCTCCTTAAAAACGCCATCAGGTAACAAACAAAAATCTGAAAACGGGATAGAGGGAACGAGTGAATAGGGTTTGTTTTTTTTGGGGGGGTTTTTTAAATGATAGTTTAACATTCAATCTGCCATCACGTCAATAGTTTTATTTCTTGATTAGGCGAAGGGAGCGATGGATTTGGGTTTATTTTCTGTTGACCAAAATAAAATATAGTCTGTATGAAGACATAGTGGTCAAATTAGTCTGCATTTGAAAGCTCGACGTCTTGGACGTAAAAAAAAAAAAAAAAAAAGTCAATTTATTTTAAAATTAATAAGTAGCCCAATTCGATACTTGCAGTTTAGTCTGGAAATCTTTCGTCTATAAACGACAACAAAATGTAAACTTTAGTTTTTTTTAATTGGTTTATAAAAAAGACAGCATTTATTTCCAAAGCATGACAGTTTCTAAGGAATTCATTTTAGTTCTCATCGTTCACAATGTACCTTTATATATCATATTCAGACTGACTGACGCGTTACAGACGTCAAGAAAGGGAAAAAAAATGAATACGTTTAAGTTATGTCCACAGCGAACTTGTCTCAGTTATCAAATAAAGAGAAAATGGCCTACTTTTAGCTACAGTAGATTAAGAAATAGCAGACAACAACAAAAACAAGGAAGTGTGTATGTGTGTGTGTGTGTGTGTGTGTGTATACACACACACAAATAAGAGAGAAACGCCGTCCTTGAAAGTGGGATTCCTAATTCAGAGGAATAAAGTAAGATTTTAAGGAAAAGATAAGATTTTTAACCGAATTAAGTGAGCATCAAAAGACTGCAATAATTCAACTGCCACTGACAAAGAAAATGGGAACTGGGCCTACTGAAAGAGTGGGAGTAGATGGGGGTCAAGTAGATTACCTTTCCTCCTGAACATGTAAGAATAAAAAATTAAAATATTAAAGTTTAATACTTCAGGTAATTAAGACGCTTTTCGAGATTACATTTCTTCAGTCACCGGAAAAAAAAAAAAAAAAAAAAGCAACCGACGGGGAATAAATCAGTTGTAAAAATAATTTTATTTTTACCTGTTTTGTTTTTTTTTTTTTTGGGGAGGGTATTTTTTGCTCGTTTGTTTGAAGTTAAGAATAAATCATCTATTGTATTGATAATCAAACCAGTAGAAAAAAAAAAACTCAAATTCTGTTTAATAGAAAAAAAAGTAAACTGTTCTTGAAGTGAAGAAAAGGTCGATGGTAAGTAGGGAATGCCATCTCAATAGCACAGAACTATTCAACTGTCACAGGAGTTATTAAAATTATGAAGAAAAAAAAAACGAACTAGAGAGATTCTACATCTCTCACTCTTTAATAACACAGGTTGAAAAATTACTACTGAAGCATTCTGCAATCCACCTCCACTCTGTAAACTATTACGTATTGTGTTAAAAATAACAATTAAACCCTAAGCTATACTTAAGACTTCCAGGATGCGGAAAAGTAAAATTTGCAAGGGCGCAATTAGACTGAATCAGTTCTCAAGAAATATATTAAGAAATACTCCTCCACGAAATCTAAATAATGAGAAGTGTGTAGTGTTTACACGGAAATAGAAAGAGGCGTAAGACAAGGATGAGTCTTCTCTTCATTCGTTCTATTAATGTACCGGAGCCAAATGAAAGTCAATGTTCCAATGAAATATTGCGTTCTATGAAACAACTTTTCTATTGTGTAATCCTCAAAGACAAACTGCTAATATCTTAATTCCCTAAACTTCTGATTGCACTTAGGTATTCAGCCATTGCATTCGACCAGCGCCTAATTCCACTCTACGCAAATATTTTTTTCAACAGCTTTTATTTGAAATTTTCATTTTGGTGTCAACTGCAGTAAAATTTTCCGTAAAGAAGAAAAAAACATTTTGTAGTATATACACTTGAAAAAAATTCTAAAACCTACCTTATGAGAAACTAAGTTAATTAAATTATTATACTGACTGATGAAGGTCCGCTTAATTTTATGAGTATCTTATAGGACAGTTGAAGTATGAGTGAACAAAAATGACAAATTTTTTTTCTTTGACTGACAATTTAGGTACTAAAATCATTCTGCACAGAACAAAGAGAATACAATATATATATATATATATATATATATATTTTATTCGAATGCAAGGTATATTTACTATATCTCTGAATGAAATTCCAAATAAAAATTCAACCAATTCATTCGGGAACTTACTCTTTTCATAAAATTAAGAATTGTTTGAAAGCAGATTTTTTCGGCGAAAATTTTTCTCAAGTCATTAGTTGTTTATACAACTGAAGCCAATTTTCCAACATAATAATGGACACAAGTTTCGGGTTTTTTGTCAGAATTTTCTCCAAAAGTCCGTTGATTAACCTCGATGAATGAAACCTTTCAGAAAAGATACTGTGTATACTGTGAATTATATAACACACAATAACAAACAAACAAAAAAAAACATGAAATTGAGAACTTAAAAAAAATCTTGTTAAAAAAAGATGTATTTCAGACGACATTTCTTTCAACAGCGAAGTTCAGTTTTTGAGAGTTCTTGATTATTTCACATGGAAACAATTTTTGTTCACAAACTGAATGATGTTTTGAAGCCAACAGACCTTAAAACTGCCAGTATCACAGAGTAGATGTTTTTATAATCAGTATTCTAATGGTTCAATTTAGAAGTGTTAAGTTAAACTGTCAACTGGTAATCCCCAGACGGAGAGAGGAGAAAAAGTGTGAGAGAGAGAGAGAGAGACGGCACAGGGGGGGAGTGAAGGGGGAGTGAGAGAGAGGGAGAGACGGCACGGGAGGGTGAGAGAGAGAGGGAGAGACGGCACGGGAGGGTGAGAGAGAGAGAGAGAGAGACAGCACAGGAGGGTGAGAGAGAGAGAGAGAGGCACAAGGGGAAAGTGAGAGAGAGAGAGACGGCACAAGGGGAAAGTGAGAGAGAGAGAGACGGCACAAGGGGAAAGTGAGAGAGAGAGACGGCACAAGGGGAAAGTGAGAGAGAGAGAGACGGCACAAGGGGAAAGTGAGAGAGAGAGACGGCACAAGGGGAAAGTGAGAGAGAGAGAGACGGCACAAGGGGAAAGTGAGAGAGAGAGAGACGGCACAAGGGGAAAGGAGAGAGAGAGAGACGGGCACAAGGGGAAAGTGAGAGAGAGAGAGACGGGCACAAGGGGAAAGTGAGAGAGAGAGACGGCACAAGGGGAAAGTGAGAGAGAGAGACGGCACAAGGGGAAAGTGAGAGAGAGAGACGGCACAAGGGGAAAGTGAGAGAGAGAGAGAGAGATGGCACAAGGGGAAAGAGAGAGAGAGAGAGAGACGGCACAAGGGGAAAGTGGAGAGAGAGAGAGAGACGGCACAAGGGGAAAGCGAGAGAGAGAGAGAGACGGCACAAGGGGAATGTGAGAGAGAGAGAGAGACGGCACAAGGGGAATGTGGAGAGAGAGAGAGAGACGCACAAGGGGAATGTGAGAGAGAGAGGGCACAAGGGGAATGAGAGAGAGAGAGAGACGGCACAAGGGGAAAGTGAGAGAGAGAGGAGAGACGGCACAAGGGGAATGTGAGAGAGAGAGAGTGAGAGACGACACAAGGGGAAAGTGAGAGAGAGAGAGTGAGAGACGGAACAAGGGGAAAGTGAGAGAGAGAGAGTGAGAGACGGAACAAGGGGAAAGTGAGAGAGAGAGAGTGAGAGACGGAACAAGGGGAAAGTGAGAGAGAGAGAGACGGCACAAGGAGAAAGTGAGAGAGAGAGAGACGGCACAAGGAGAAAGTGAGAGAGAGAGAGACGGCACAAGGAGAAAGTGAGAGAGAGAGACGGCACAAGGAGAAAGTGAGAGAGAGAGACGGCACAAGGAGAAAGTGAGAGAGAGAGACGGCACAAGGAGAAAGTGAGAGAGAGAGACAGATTAAGCATGCACAATCTACATGAATTCTACAGTGGATCTCTGAAATCTTAGTCTATAGTTCATACATTTAATCTCGACCTTCAAATTCTGCCATATACATTTACATGTTTTCGTATAAAATCTTGCCATTCTTTTCTCTAGTTTTTATTTTCTCAAAAAATAGCACGAAAAGAAGAGAAAAAACGTACAAGGCTGTCTGGTTCGTTTTAGCAAGTGCAAGGTTCTTCTTTTTTTCTTTTTCTTTCTTTTTTTTTTCTCCAGTCAAGATGAACGGTTGTACTCTCAATGAGGCTCCTTCCCTTAAACATCTCTCGGGACTCACGTTTCCCCATCCCCCACCACCAGATTCGAAGTGAAATATATACAACCCATCACTAAAAATGCTTGTTTGTTTCCTGTACGGTTACAGAATGTACCTGACTCCTGTCATGCTCTATCTTTACAAGAGTCAGATCAAACCAGACCAAAATGGAATATTGCTGCCATTTCTACCTTGTATAAAGATTTCGAAAGTTTTATGCGACATTGGGCAGCTTCTTTACGACAATCTTCATTCTATTTTTCCATGGCAAATGTTCAGACAAGTTAAATGTCTTGGTTCTAACAGGTCACATACACGAGTCGAATCATCCTCGTTGCCTTCAAATTCCATTGGCATAGAGGCTTATTCCCCAGAACTGTTGCTTTGTGGAACAAAGTCCCGAGAGGAGGTTTCCCCGGCCACTTAACCTCTTTGTCTAAAAAGAAGTATTATCTATTCTATCTATCCTCAGAATCTGCACCTCCTCCTTTTATAGCCTTATTCATTCAGTAAATGAATGCATTGAGTGACTCGTGAGCGAACACTCATTAAAAAAAAAAAAAGTCTATTCAATCAATAAACAGCATTTCTTAACTTTTGGGGTTACCAACCAACCAACTCACCCAAACACATCCACGCACCAATGGATTTATTTTTCATCTTACATTACTTTAAACGTTATTTAACGGAAACTCGTATATAAACTGGACAGTGATTTTTTTTTATTATAAACGGTGTGCATCGGCCTGGGCATTCCAACTTTCGAAGTAATGAAAATGTCGGGTAAAAAAATAAATTCATTAATTTTTTTTTTTAAATTGCTTTGTTTACTTTACCGGACACGAAACTAGGAAGATATGGGCTTTTCGAGAAAATTAGTTGAATGAGGAAGTGAGCTTTCCTTAAAAGAGGAAATAGCTGAACTGTGACACTCACTGTAGCCGAGAGGTAAAGCACACCGAAGCAAATGGTGGTTTCTCCCACAAAGAGAAGTTCTCCCTACTGGAGAACACATCATTTTCTTTGAAATTTCTCGAACGTGCAAACCGATAAACGTAATACAGAGTTTAAAATAAAAATTGGGGCGTTTATTTCAAATAAAAGTATCCACTAAATAATAACGTTATATAATATGTGCAAATGTCAGTGAAGTCACAACTCGATAAAGCCCCAAAAATCACAAAGATAAAGAACTCATCAACATTTTTTTTCAATAATTGAATGATGCTAACAGTTAAAATCCAACTGCTTAATTTCAACCGATTTTCTTAAGAGATGCTGAACATTTTTTTTTTATACAAGAACCTTACAAACCAGTCTATTTTCTAAAATGTTACAAGTGTTCAGAACAAATCTAATTTGTTGATTACTCAGTAACATTTCTAAATTTTCATTTCATCTTTTAACAGATCAAAATGTTTTAGGAAAAAAAATCCTGCTTTCAATTACCTGATGAACATTAAATTTAAAAAAATAAAATAAATCATCTAAAATTTACTTGGAATATTAAAAGTAAAAGAAAAAGTTTGAAGATGCACACACAAAAAATAATAGGTATTATGAACAAGGACTTAAGGTCTTCATTAACAACAGGAAGAAAATAACATGTCCACGGAAACTGAGAAGGTCTAAAGAACGAAAGGAAAGGATGTCGCAGCATATTCTGATTTCCCAGGGGCAAACAGGAAACAATATTCAAGACACTGTTGTCAAATGCAGCGCACAAAAGTAAAAACAGGAAGTAATTGTAAGCTTCCTGTAAAATGTTGGCTTTGCAAAATTTGTAGTTTATTTCAGGACCTTGCTGAGCTGACAGTGGCGAGAATACATGATTAAAATCTAAGAATATGCTGGTGATGTCTGACTGACTACTCGCTTAGGAGAACAAGAATTTGTAGAAACAACCAACCAAATTTGTATCATAGACCATTACTACTGCAGAAATTGATTATCATTTTGCTTTTTCACAAACTAAGTTAGGGCTTTTGGCCCGGATGAAAGATTAAATTTGTTCTCTCCTCATTCGAGATGAGAAAAGGCGAGGATTCCAACCTGGTGACAGAACCTTCCCCATTAGACTAAGAAAGGTGGAGGCGGTATCAACGCCAACGTGACAGTGCATGCTTATGTGCTCCGCGCATAAAAAGACTGTGTCAGATCCTGCATTCGTGTGTATGGGTGGGGGTTAAAGTAAATGTTTTTGTATTGTTTTTTGTTGTTGTTTTTTTTTATTAGTAGTAGAAGTAACCTTTTCACAAATTGCAAATATCAACTTTTCACTCTTACCATAAGAATGAAAGTTATCTTGGAAAGAAAATTTTAAGGAAACAATTTATAGCATTGAAACATCAAAGAAACTGATCTACCAAATAAATGAAGTAGACAGCCTTCTGACTAGAAACTAACCAATCTCCTATTTAATCAGGTCGTGTTTCCGCGGAGGGGGCGGTCGGTTGTGAAATATTTGTGAATGGTTTTTATTTTTTTTTGCTTTGCAATGGACGTTTTGGAAATATTTCTGACCATCAGAATTAAGCAGCTTAAATTTGAATATAATGGAATGGGGTAGAAAGTCCAAGAAAATAATTTCTGTTAATAACTGAATTTCTGCAAAGTTTGGCTTGTTCTCCATCAGAAAATAAGGCAAGAAACAAATTTCTAATTTTATTATCTGACAAAAGGCCAACTGAAAGACAAGAGATTGTGTCGAACCAATTTTTTAAAATCAGCATTCAGAATTTAAAAAATAAAATAAAGCTAGAACATGCTGGAATTACATAACTCAATCACAAATCATAGCAGTGATATCGTGTTGTATTAGAGAATTAGTCCATCTAAAAATAGAGTTCTATAGCATTTCTTCAAGCCACATGTGTGTGTCCAAGTCTAGCAGATTAAGAATGAATGTACAGTCCAAAGTAGAACACCTCAGAGTTTTAGAAGTAGACACCAATATACATTGCTTTGGGAAAAAAAGTAAAAGACATGCTTGGAAAAAAATATACTTCCTTTTAGTTTTCAAGAATTGATTTGTTCTTGTTTTTTTTACGGTTTATCAACCCTTTGTGGGTTATTTAAAGCCGCATGCGGTTACTTACAGTATTACCCGATGTTCCCAACAGGTCTCTCACTGACCGGGCTCGATGTGCTTAACTTCAGTGATCGAACGAGAACCGATATTTTCAGTGTTCTTTTCAAAGAGAGATGGAAATAAAGTGAATACTGCACTAGGAGACTTTCTTGTTTTGTTTTTTTTTTTTTTTTTATTTTTTCATTTCTTTATTCACTTTTGATATTCCGATAATTAAATTTGACCCTCCTTAATGTTACAGTAAATGAAAAACATTTTTAATTTTTAACTCACTTGTCACGCATAAATTTATTAATAGTAATTTGGTACAGACAAATAATCTTGATTTTTGTAAATTCTGCAGTACAAACTACAAAGTAATTTCTTTCACGCAACGTAATTTTTCAGAAACTTAAATGAAGTTAAATGCAAAAAAGTACTAAATAAAAAGTAAAAAAATGTTTCCATTATTTGAAATTCCTACACGAAACATTGTTATTAATTATTTTTTTTATTATTTTTCTTTAATTTTTTTGCAGCTTTTTATCACAATAGAGTTAAAAAAAAAAAAAAAAAGCAAACATTCTATGACCATTAAACAACAGCATAATTTGAAAAAAAAAAAAAAAAAAAAAAAAAACTTCGACATGATTCGAACTCATATCACGTATGCTCATAAGTCTTACATGGACAGTACATTTTCAATTCAGTTACAAAAACCAATCAGAAGACACCGCCATTCAAAATTAGTCTGACAGCTACATGCTTCATATCTAAATTTTATCTTCTAATGATCCATCACCCTTGCTTTAGTTGTGTAGATTTAAAAGTACTGATATTTTGTTTTGTTTATTTTAAAAAAGGAACTAAAGTAAAATAAAAAAAAGAATAAGGTCACAATCTAAAAAATTTGCGAAACTTGCTAATTATTACTAGTTTAAAAACAATACGATTCAAATGAATTTGAGGTCTATATCATAATCAGTAAGATATTACCCGTGTTAAACAGGCTTCCGAGTTTTAATTTTGCTAGTCTAATTCTTTATTTTCCAATCTATTCATAGATATTGGCAATGTTTAAAATTAATAATAATTCAACTCCACAAAAGAACTTTGAAGTTCAAAGAATTACCAAAGACACCATCACAAACCGATATTTAAATGTTCAAACCTCACTTTGATTAACTAAAAAAAATAACTGAATGTTATTTGCCTGTTGGTGTCACTTGACAAAATATAACAAAAAGCATAAACAAAGCTACACACATTCAGATGGTCATGTTCTAACGGGGTTGATCAAATTACTCTTATTATTTATTATTTTTATAAAGCTACTGAAAGATTATAAAAAACAACTGTTAGGGAAATAATGTAATATCAAATGCTACAAAGCTTACCACATTATCAGACGGGGAATCTCTTAAGTTTTTTTAAGATATGCCATTAAAAATATCAAGCCAATACAACTGACAATTTACAAAAGCAGACTATCTTTTGAATATTAGTCATAATCAACAATGACCTTTTCGATAAAGAATAACAATTTTAAGTCTATCTAGGCAATAAAAAAAAAAAAAAAAAAAAAAAAAAGTCGTCTTATGGACGAAGAAAACATGAATTGTTATAAAAGTTATCAC